ATGGCCTACGCAAGGCCTCTTGTGGAGGTCGAAGGGCAGGTTTGCGGAGTCGTTGCCAGACTCTGTAGGCCATGGAATACAGGATGATCAACCTGTGGCCTCCAGCGGCCTTTGGCAACATCGGCATCACCATCCACGTCAGCTGGACGGGGAAAAGGCCCAGCGCCTCGCAGGCCAGCAAGGTGTCGCACAGGCCCTCCAGCGGGTGGAGGCCGTCCAGGCTGCTGGAGGTCGTGATGCTGAAAGTACGTGATGCTCGCCGAAGTTCCTCTGGTGAAGGTCGTTCTAGGGTCGACCTGTCAGGGATCCACGCCTGGGGAGCCTCCTTCACCGCCTTCCACAGAGCTGCGTGCGTATCCTCCATATCCTTGACTACGAAGTGCGGGTGCCCTGTGATGCCGTTCTCCGAGTCATTGACCGTAGTGGGGGCTTGAACCTCTCGTACTCGCGTGACCTTGTGAAGCTTCCTCGCTCCGCCAGCGCAGGCCCCGTCGCACCACTCTTTCCAGCGCTTCGAAGATTCCTTGTTCGCTTGCTGCATGGCGAATTTGACATCCTCTTCAATGTCTTCCGAGAAAGTCATGATGTCCTCACTGCTGAAATTCCTCTGCGCTAGCTGCCGAGCTTGCCGCGCAGATGCGTCAAGCCGCGCGCTGAGGTTCTGGCCACAGTAGTCACCAGTGAGGAAGCCTTGCACCTCGTTGTCGAGAACCTGTCGGCCTTCAGGTGTCCTGGCTTTCGCCTTCGCAGTGGAGAGGCCCGCCAGGCAATCCTGCAGCCACTTCCATCCATCCGCGATTGCCTGCACTTCCTCCTCCGTGAGGACCTGGTGCTCACGCTCGACCCACTTGGCTTGAAGCGGGCGAGCGTAGGCGCTGGCCCGCATCTCCGTAGCTGTGAGATGCCCGAGCCTCGAGGCCGCTCTGGTCGCCCATCGGCCCCAAGCCTTCGAGAGAAAGCGCCAGGCGACAGCAGCGGGCGCCTCCTTGGCCAAAATCAGCGCCTGCTCAGCAAAGCTGCGCTCCAGGGACCAGCTGCTCTCCTCGAGGAATGGGCCGTGCACAGTCTGCGCTGGTATCTTCGCGCCTCCGACGTAGGTGAGGTACCTGAGCTTGGTGCCCTCCGCTGTCAGTTGTAGCTGAACTGGTCGATGCGGCTTTACTGCCCAGGTCAAGTCGGCCTTGCAAGCTGCTAGCGTGCGCATGGAGCCCGTGGTTAGCCCGAAGTAGTCGATGGTGGAGACCGATGCCGCTGTTCTGCAAGTCGCGTGCCTCGGGGTGACCATCTCCAGCTGCGCGTGCACGGGGAAACCAGAGTCCTTGACAACCTGTACGTCCATGTTCCAGTCGCCGCCGATGATGCCAGGGTGCCTCTGGCCCGCGAGCGCGATCCCCACCGTCATGAGGATGCTGGCGTTGCGGCTGCTCATGCCCTCCCCTGTGTGGAGGTAGACGTTGACGACGTTGAGCGGCGGCCAGCTCGGCAGCTCCACGACGACGTGTTGAGCCCTGCCGCGGACTAGCTCGGTGCCGTGCGAGATGGTCTCGTTGACGCTGCCTGCACGTCTGGGCGGGGCGTCGCCGGGGTATGTGGGCCCGCGCAGCCCGATCCCCTCCCTGGCAAACACTGCCAGGCCTGCAGAGGGGAGATGCCCTCGTGAGGGCAGCCCTGGCACGATGAGGCTTTGCCAGCCACGTGCCGTTGCCCATGAAGAGAGGCTCTCGCAATCATCGATGCCGTAGCCGATCTCCTGGGCCATGATGACCATAGCTGTTGACCTTCGCAGCCGCTTCTGGAGGGTTAGCTTTCCCTGCTTGGCGTTGAAGGTCTCGAAGGTGTGCGTGACAGTGACCGCTGCTGGCACATGTAGCTGCTTGGCGCCCGCGCTGGCGGCCAGTAGCCCGCTGACCAAGGGCGGGTTACCCAGGCAGCGTGCCTGTGCCCAGGGAGCCTGCCGCGGTTCTGCGGTGCTTGCTGTTCTGGACCTGCGTGAACGCGTCGTCCAGCTTCTCCTTGGTCCAGTCCGAAGGCGGCTGCTGCCCGCTGCTGAGGAGCTGCTGCCAGAGGGCGCCGACGTCATCCTTGACCAGCTCCACCCAGGCGGCGCCGCGCTTATCACCTCCTCGAGGCTGGGCGTCGCCGTCAGCGTCCTCGGTCATGTCCTCGTCATCCCGAGCTGGCTGCCCGTCGGCTGCTCCTGCGCCACCGCCCTCAGCATGAGGAGCATGAACACCAGGTTCCTCAGCCATGGCTGTAGCCAGCTTCTCTGCCGCCTGCTTGCGGAGGGCCGCCTGGATCTTGTCGAAATGGGGGCTCGCCTTGAATTGCTCGAGGGCCTCCTTTGCGCCGTCGTCGAGCTGCTCGGCGAGGTCGAAACCCACCAAGTCCTCCTCCTTGATGACTGGGTTGGGGAGGAGGAGGAGGAGGAGGAGGAGGAGGAGGAGGAGGAGGAGGAGGAGGAGGAGGAGGAGGAAAACGAGGAGGAGGAGGAGTGAGCCCGCGTCTTTGATGCCTCGCTCCCTTCGGTGCCCCAGGAGCTCTCCCCGCGCCGGCCTTTGGAGGGGCCGGGGCGGGCCTCCCCGACGGCGCGGGGGCTGGGGCTAGGTCGGGCGCGCCCCCTTCCCAGGCGCATCTGGGGAGAGAAATTGAACCTGCCCAGCATGCTTTTGCGCAGTGTTTACAAAAAGGAAAAGCCCCAAAAATAAAACAAAATCGTCCCCAGGCTATGTTTTTAATTGTTTTTGGAATATTCCCCCCTGTAGAGGGACGCGTCCGACGTACGGCCGGGGCGGGCCTCTCCGACGGCGCGGGGCTGGAGGCGCGGCGCTCGTTGCGTCGCCGCGTCGCCCCCTCTCTATGTCGCTCGAGGACGGCGCGCCGCCGCCCCCGACGCGTGCGGCGGAGACGCCCCCGCAGCATGGAGAAATACAGACATCCATCTGTTTGGCGCCGCTAGGCTTAGGTCGGGCATCTCTTCCTGCTGGCGGATCTTGAAAGAAAGGTGTAACATATCCAACACATATTTCCACATTGTCAAACATAATGCAGAATCGACCCCAAACTATTTTTGTTTTTTTTCGAACATGTATCCTGTAGAGGGACATGCCCGACTTGACGCCAGGATGCTCCGCGAAAATTCCTGCCGCGCCAGAGGGCCGCAACGTGGCGCGTCTCCTGCCGCCCTGGTCGCGCGTCGGCCCGCTTTAAGGCGCGAGAAGCGACGGACTGCGCCGATGAGCTTCGGCGATCGACCCTCTCCCACCCTCCCCGTCGCCCTCCTCCTCTTCCGTCTCTTCCTTCTCCACATCTCCCCCCTCCCGCGGCAGCTGGCCCCGGGCAACTGGCCACGCCGACCCGCGCGCCAGCGTAGCCGCGGTGCCGCCTCAGCGGGTGCGGCTGCGAACTCCTGGGGCCCGGGGGCGCGGTCGGGCCGAGGCCGGGCGGCGGGCGGCGGCCGCCTCCTGGCGCACACCCAGCAGGCGGCGGGCGGCCCGCAGGCGGGCGTCGTCGTCCGCCCGGCCTCGTCAAGTTCTTCGAAGAGGGCGGCCTCCTCGAGGTGTTCGTCTTCGTCCTCGTCCTGGAAATCTCGGTCGGGTGGTACTGGAGTGACCCAAATGGGGGATGAAGATATGGGCCCTAGAGGGCCTCTTCGGGTTTCTTTTGGGCACCAGCTGGGCCAAAAAGGGCCCTGAAGGGCCCCTTTAGGGCCCATTCCTCCACCCCTCATTATGATGACCCCCTAGTGCCACCCGTCCGGAAATCGTCCCAACGCCGCCTCTCGTGGCCGAGCGCAGTGTCCAGGTCGGGCCAGGGGGAGGCGGCCGCGCCCTGGCCTCCAGGGCAGCGTCCGCTGCGGCCATCGCCGCGACCAGCGGCCCTGCCGCGTGCCCCCAAGCCTGGGCCCCTTTCTCTAACCTGCCCAGGACTTCGCGCGTGGCCCGTACCAGCTCGGAAAGCTCCGCGTCGGCCGCGGTCGCCCACGCCGCCGCCGCTCGCTGCGCCGTCTCCTCCGCGCGGGCGGCCTCGGCGGCGACCGCCTCCCCGCGGGCGTTTTTTCAGGCGGCGTTGCGCGGCCTCCAACGCCTCCTCCGCTGCGCGCGCCGCTGCTGCCGCCCGCTCGGCCGCCGCCTTCAGGTTTCGCGGCGCTCCGCGTGGCGCAGCCAGAAGGCGCGTTCTTCCGCCGACGATGGGTCCTGGGCCGCGGGCCGCGGCCGCCAGACAGGGCGGGCCAAGCGGCGCCGCCAATGCTCCGACGCGCGCCGCGAAGCGTTCTCGAAGTTAGTGGCGCTGCAACTGTAGCGCCACCCTGGGTCGCGAGCCTGCGGTGGCTGCAAGTCGTGCTGCGTGCTCCCTTTGCCGCGGAGGCTGCTGGTGGGCCTGGCGATCGCGTCGGAGCTGCCCGACGCGTGGTGGAGCTGCCATGCCTTGGCGCGGAGGAGCGGGAATGGGGCGGGCAAGAAAGTGCGGGGGCAGGGAGGGCCTGGCCGGGCTGCCGAGGTCGGTCAGGTCTCGACCTCGACGTGGAGGCCCGGTCATGTGAGCGCCCGCACGCCCTGACCGTACGCCCTGACCTTCGGTGAGGATCCTCCCCCTCCTCCTCCCTCCTCCTCCTCCTCCTCCCTCTCCTCCTCCTCCTCCCCTCCTCCCCTCCCTCCTCTCCTCCTCCTCACTTCTCCTCCTCCTCCTCCTCCTCCTCCTCCCTCTCCTCCTCCTCCTCCCCGCCTCCTCCTCTCCTCCTCCTCCTCCCCTCCTCCTCCTCCTCCTCCTCCTCCTCCTCCTCCTCCTCCTCCTGCGGCACTGTGGGCAAAGCGGTCCTTCTCCGCCGAAGCCCGCGCCGCGCCCGCGCCCGTCGCGCGCGGCGCGACGCACGACCCCTTTCCTCAGAGATCCTCTGGAGGGGGCCTCAAAGATCCTCCTCCTCCTCCTCCTCCTCCTCCTCCTCCTCCTCCTCCCTCCTTCTCCCTCCGCCCCCACTCTGGGAATGTGAGGGGGAGCGGCACCTGCAGGGCGTCGACCGCCGCCCGTGCCACGGCCGGGGGGTCGAGCAGCGGCACCTCCAGCGCCGCCGCAAGGCCTGAAGAGGGGGGGACGGGAGGGGTGAGAAGGCGAGGGAGGATTTCGATTGGGTTTGGGTCTGGGAGGAGGAGGAGGCGGAGGAGGAGGAGGAGGAGGATAATATATGCTATTACGACACTTCAATGAGAGGGAAGAAGAGGGCGAGGTGGAAGAGGAGGAGGAAGAGGAGGACGATACGACGGGGGATGATGGGGAGAGGCAGGGCGTGGAGAAGTATGTGTTGGACGAGGGGGAGCAACACAGAAGGATCAGGAAGATGAAATTGGCGTCTCCTGTGGAAGAGCCAGCCGCCGCGTCCGTCACAAGCCCCAGGTCGAGAAGCGCGGCACGCTTCTCCTCTCGCAGCGGGGGAGGGAGGGGGGATGACGAGAAGGTGCGATGACGGGGGGGAGGCGGCGATGGCGAGGGCGAGGTGAAGGAGGAGGGAGGGCATATGGAGAACGACGACGATGATGAGAGGATGGGGTGGAGGAACAGGGAGGGGATGTGAAGAAAGACGATGACGGTGATGAGAGGAACAGGAGGAGGAGGAGGAGGAGGAGGAGGACGAGGAACAGGAGAAGGAGCATGGAGGTGCAGGAGGTGGAGGGGGGGCGGATGCGGAGGAGTAGGAGCATGTGGGTGGGAAGCGGGGGGCGCGGAGGGAAGGGGGAGGACGCGGCAAGGCGGGGGAAACGGGGGACGGTCAGGAAGAGGGGATCTCCGCAGGTCCTCTCGGCGAGGGTCGTTCTCCCTGGGCCACTCCAGCCGCAAGATCATACTCATGGCCACGGCGGCTGGCCCGTCACAGCCCACCGGCTTCCCAGTACTCATCGCTCGAACCAGCACGGTGACGTAGAAGGGGAGGGTAGTTAAGGAGGACAGGAGGAGGGGGACCATACTTATGATGCTGCTGCTGCTGATGATGCTGATGACGATGAGGATGATGGAGGGCGCTGATGCTGATGATGCTGCTGCTGATGCTGATGCTGGTGCTTACTGATGGTGATGATGGTGGTGATGATGCTGATGTTGATGACGACGAGGATGCTGAGGATGGTGGTGGTGCTGATACTGATGATGACGATGCCGATGTCCATGTCGATGGTGATGATGCTGATGACGATGCCGATGATGATGTTGATGATGGGGATGATGCTGATGACGATGAAGATGACGACGAACATGATGATAAAGATGCTGATGCTGCTGCTGATTATGATACTGGTGATGCCGATGCTGATGATGATGATCTGCAGCATCAGGTTGATGATGCTTACGACGCTGATGATGTGCTTCTGACATTGCTGATGGTGCCTCTGATGATGGTGAGAAGTAGTGGGTTGAGACTGATGGTGATGCTGATGATGATGCTGCTGATGATACTGATGCTGCTAATGATGATGACGATCACGATGACGACGCCCATGATGCTGATGCTGCTACTGCTGATGATGATGCTGATGATGACGAACCTGATGCTGATGATGTTGATGATGCTGTTGATGCTGCTGATGATGATGCTGAGGAAGATGATTGTGATGCTGATGCAGCGGATGCTGGCATCGAGAATGTTGTTGAGAATGCTTAGGCTGATGATGATGCTACTTATGATGGCGATGCTGATGTCTGAACAGAAAGGAAGATCGGCCTGCGAGAGAGAGAGAGAGAGAGAGCGGGAGAGAGAAAGAGAGAGAGAGAGAGAGAGAGAGAAATAGAGGGAGAGGGAGAGGGAGAGGGAGAGGGAGAGAGAGAGCGCGCGCGAGAAAGTGAGTCCGTGCTGCGCACCTCGGCGTGGTGTCTCGTCCTCTCTCCACCTCGCTGCGGAGGAAGGTAATGGCCGCGCGGGCACGGAGGAGTCGGGGGAACTGACGAGGAGGACGAGACACACACGATAACGAGCACACTTCTTGCACGGAGCATGGGGCGGCAGGAGGACGCGGAAGGTGGAGCGGCCTCAGATCGGTCGGGGCCACAAGGAGTGGGGGTGCTGATGCTGAAGCTTGAGCTTGAGCTGATGCTGCTAGTGATGAGGATGAGGGGATGGTGATGATGATGATGGTGATGATGATGATGAGGATGGAGATGAAGATGATGCTCATGGTGATGCTGATGCTAATGCTGGTGATGGCGATGATGATGACGGTGTGGTAATGACGGTGATGATGATTCAAGGATGAGGATGATCAAGGTGATGGTATGCGGATGACGGCGATGACGATCAAAATGACGATGCTGCTGATGATGACGATGCTGATGTCTATGATGCGAACTCTGTGATGATGCTGATGGTGATATTGATGACGACGATGATGATGACGATGCTGGTGATGCTGATGGCAATGATGATGCTGATGCTGATGCTGATGCTGATTATGCTGATGGTGAAAATGATGAGCATCGTGATGACGATGCTGACGATGAAGCTGACGATGGTCTTCATGTTGATGATGCTAATGCTGTTGATGATGATGATGATGATGATGATGATGATGATGATGATGAAGACAACGAGGCTGATACTTAACCTTCATACTGGTGATTCTGATGATGATGATGATGATGATGATGATGGCGATGCTGATGACAATGCTGATGCTGATTATGATGATGATAAGGATGCTGCTGCTGATGATGATCCTGATGCCGATGTTGTTTGTTAGTTCTTTTGTTTTTTTTTGGGGGGGGGGGGGGAGCTGATGCTGCTGCCGGTATTGCTGATATTGATGATGCTGATGATGGCGATGATGATGCTGATGATGGCGATGATGATGCTGGTGCTGATGCTGATGGCGGTGATGGTGATGCTGATGATAAAGATGCTGATGCTGATGCTGATGCTGATGCTCATGCTGCTGACGATGATGCCACTCGAGCCCCTGGTGTGGCCGGTGCGCCCGAAGCCGAACCCCTGGCGGTTCCGCCCTCGCTGGCGGCCCGCCTCGCAGACGCCTCCCGGGGGGCAGCACCTCGGGCCGCGCGCCCCCGGCTCGCTCCCGCCCTGCGCCCTGCGCCCTGGACGACGGTAACGACGACGACGACGACGGCGGCGACGACGACGAGGAGGACGACGGCGGCGGCGACGGCGACGACGACGAGGATGGCGGCGGCGACGGCGACGACGATGGCGACGGCGACGGCGGCGGCGGCGTCGGCGACGGCGACGACGGCTACGACGACGACGACGGCGGCGCGCCCTACGCCCTGCGCCTTGCGCCTCCTGGAGCTTGCCGTCGCTCGGAGGCCCACTTCCCCGTGCGCTCTTCGGCCTCGTGCGTGTTATTTTTCTTTGCTCGATGAGCGGAGACAAATAATGAGATAAACATAACGATTCGGAGGTCCGCGCGGATTTCTCGGATCGGCGTTGGACACCCCTCCTTGGCGCGCGGAGCGCGCCGAGGGCGGCGCCGCCAAGGGGCTCCAGCGCCGATCCGAGAAATCCGCGCGGACCTCCGAGTTTTTACGTTCATGTCATCGTTCGTTCCCCTACTGGCCATCGCTCGGACGTCCGTTCCCTGTGCTTTCTTCGGTTTCGTGCGTGGATTTTTCGCCAAACGATCAAGGATGCTCCTCGATGGTCCCCGCCGAAGGAAGAATGCACACGTCCGAGCGATGCCAAGCCTGCAGGATGCTCCTCGATGGCCCTCGCCGAGAAAAAAACAACAACAACGGGCACACGGCCGAGCGGCGCCGAGGCGCCGAGGGAGGCCGCAGGGCGGTGCCCTCGGGCGGGCGGCCCCCGAGGGGGCAAGGAGCGCCCGGTCGCAAGTGCTGCGTCTTTCGCGAGAGCTCGCCGGGGCCTCCACGGCCCCAGGACGAAGATCTCGTCGCCGCCGTCGTCGTGGTCGTCGTCGCCGCCGTCGTCGTCGTCGTGGTCGTCGTCGTCGTCGTCGTCGTCGTCGTCGTCGTCGTGGTCGTCGTCGTGGTCGTGGTCGTTGTCGTCGTCGTCGTCGTCGTCGTCGTCGTGGTCGTCGTCGTCGTCGTCGTCGTCGTCGTGGTGGTGGTGGTGGTGGTGGTGGTGGTGGTGGTGGTGGTGGTGGTCGTCGTCGTCGTCGTCGTCGTCGTCGTCGTCGTCGTTGTGGTCGTCGCCGCGGCCCGCCGCCCGCGCCGAAGACCCGTCTCCCGTAGGTCCCGCCTCCCCCGTGTGCCAGGGCAGGGCTGAACCTGAACGGTGTTTTTCGTTCTCGTTTCGTTTTCGTTTTCCCTCGCTTTTGTCTCAAATCCGCCTTTACCGCAAAAGGAGGTCAGAACGAAAACGGCCCACGCAAAATCACCAAAAACACAGTTGAGGTCCAGCCCTGTGCTAGGGGAGGGCGAGGCGCGAGGGAGAGGGCCTTCCGAGAGGAGGCGGCGCGCTGCTGGCAGGGCCGGGGCCTGCCGGAAGGGGCCTTCGAGGGGCTTCCAAGAAGGGTTTCAGAAGCTGGGAGGGCCCCTACAGTCGAGGTGCTACAGAAGGAACGCCAAATAAGGAATCAAGGGGCTTTTCTGGCCACGGTGGGCCTAGGCCACAAGCAAATCCCGCGACATAAATCTAAGAAACGACCCAAATCCCCGAGCCCCTTCCGAACCCAAAGCGGTCCTTATTTCAGCGTCTTGGCGGTATAGTCGGAGCCCGACCACACGAGGCCTTCCACGGGAAACCCAGCCCTGGACCCCCAGGGCGCCGATGGAGTTCTGGCGTGGGAGCGCCACGCCTTCCACAGCAGAGCCATCGAGACCCACGAAGCCCAGGGCACCCTGGAGGCAGGCAGGGCGTCTCTTGGCATGGGTCTCCACTGCAAGAAGGAAGCCCTCCCTTCCAGAAGCTCCCCCGCCCTCTCAGGCGGCCGCCCCCCTCGCGCCCCCCCCCTTTGTGCGCGGCTTGTGCTCAGCACAGGCTCTCGACGAGCGCTGCGGCACCGTCCGCGCGTGCCAGCGGAGCCACGACACCGACCCCCCTCGCATGGCCTGCAAGCGGGCCTCCCGCAACGGAGCCCAGAGGGAGACCGGCCTGGAGATCAGGGGGCTTGTCTGCACTGCGAAGCGAGGGGATTGTGGAGGAGGTGGCTTCCTCTTTGTACTCGACGAGTGGGGCTTTGTGTCGGAAGGTATGCCGACAGTGGTATGGCGTAGCCCGTCGCTGGATCGGTGAAATCTGATCCTGTCCTGTCGACTGTGCAGGCTGGTGCGCGCGAGCGATGCCGCTACAGGAGGGGGAGGAGGAGGAGGAGGCGGCTCTCCTCGCCCTCCTCCCACTCCAGCGTATCCTCCTTCGTCTCCCCTAAGACCCAGCCAGGGCGAGCATAACATCGGGTGAAGATGAATCGAGAATCTCTCAGATCCGGCGGCTATGGAGGATGTCTCGGGCGCCGCGGCCTTCTCAGAGCGTTCCGGAACGATCTGACAGCGTTCTGGAACGCTCTGGAACGGATATATCCCTGTCCTAACCCCGTCCGATCCTCCCCCCCTCCCCCCGCTCTCCCCGGAGCCCCCGAAGGACGCCCCCGAGAGGCCCAAAGCCGCTTCGCCTTTTCGCTTCCGATGGGCATCTGCGGCCCAAGATGGTTCCGCGGTCGCACACAAGAGCTACAAGAAACGATTTCTCAGGCGGTAGGGGTATAACTAGGCACTTGATGATGGATGTGCTCAAAGATGGCTTTATGAGAGGTCCCAAGAAGGCCCCGAGAGAACCCCAAGAAGGTCCAGCCGCTCCCAAAATGGATCCAAGACGACATGCCATCCTCTTCCTCCTCCCCTTCCTTGACCTCCTTCTCCTCATCATCCTCGTTCTCCCAGCTAGGGCACCTGACTCAGAGTGGGGACATTTTCCGTAAATTTCCTCTGACTTCTGCTCGCTCTCCTTCTCCTCCTCCCCCTCCTCCTCCTCCTTCTCCTCCTCCTCCTCCTCCTCCAGCTCCTCCTTCTCCACCTCCGCCTCCACCTCCTCCTCCACCTCCTCCTCCTCCCCCTCCTCCTCCTCCTCTTCTTCCTCCTCCTCCTCTTCTTCATCCTTCCTCCCCCTCGCCCTTCTAAAGAGAACGGCTGCCCCCCAACTCTTTTTTCCACTGATTGCGTCCATACTTTCCTCATCAAGGCAATTCGCCTGGGCATCGTGTCTGGACGGTCTGCTGGGGATAATTACGCGGAGCGTCGATAATTACGCCGACACGCCACCTGGCTGAATGGCTCATTGAAATCCCTTCCTGTAGTCCCTCCACAGGAAGCCCTGCAACACCTGATCTCCGTTGCTCTCTCTTGCTAGGCCCGCGAATTTGCGCACGCTTGCGGAATCGGCACGTAACTTGCAGGAAGCCCCAACGAAGCCCCAAGAGGACCGCAAGACGCCCCCAACACGAGTCAATGTGGCTGGAAAGAAAAGACCTAGACCGCCCCAAACACCCTCAAACTTGCGCACACGTAGCCCTAGCGAGCCTATTCGACAGAATTCTGCAGACCCTTCGCGATCAAGACCGCGCCTGGGCCCCCAAAAGGCCCCCAAAGGGGCCCCTCTCGGGGTGCCCTCAAAGAGGGCCCAACGCAGCAGCACCCAGAGACCACAAGCTCGCAATACGCCCCCTGCAAAGCTGGTTTGGATACGGTCGGACCTGAGACAAAGAAGAACCTCCCTGAAGAACATGAGACCCTCCGCCGGCCAAACACACCTCAAACCAGAGGATCACTCGCGGGTATCCTCCCCCAAGATGCGCCAACAGATCCGACACGCACGCAGAACACGAGGGCACCCTCCCCGAACCGACCTCGATCTTATACCTCGGCCCGACCGCGTGTCACAGGGATCTGCCGACCGCTATCCCAAGCTCCGTGGGGCTCTCGAACGGACCCAACACTTGGGGTCCAACCCCGGGATGTACGAGGGAGGGGGGCAGGGCTGAACCTGAACGGTGTTTTTCGTTTTCGTTTTGCTTTCGTTTTCCCTAGTTTTGTCTTCAATCCGCCCTTGCCGCAAAACGAAATCGAAACAAAAACGGCCCACGAAATCGCCAAAACACAGTTTAGGTCCAGCCCTGGGGGGGGGGCTTGCGTCCTCGATGCGGGGTGCCTCCGAACAGGTCCCTGCGGGTGTGTGGGCCCCCTCCGTCCCATGAGCGGCCCAAAACTTTTCGGGCGGCACCCGGGGGCTGGGGGGAGAAACGCCGCCTGCGAGCAGATGCGACGCGTCGCGAATTTCCAGTTCGGGGATCTTCTGACCCGGGTCAATCCAAGCCTGGCTCAGTCAGGCCTTGCAGAATCCTGCCAAATCCTGCGCCCAAACCCAGGTCAGTGCGACCCTGGCCCTGCAGGATCCTGCAATCGAGGCCTCTTAGATGGGGTCGGAGTAGATGGGGTCGGAGGATCGCGCCGCATCGCCGATACATCGGCGATGCATCCGCGATGCATCCACGATGCACCGGCGATACACTGGCGATGCGTCGTCGACGTGGGCGATGCATCGGCAACGCCGACGTGAAGCAAACCGGGCTCCACATTGAGCCGCATCGCCGATGCATCGGCGATGCGGCGCGACCCTCCGACCCCATCTGCTCCGACCCTCCAAAAGGCCTAGGTGCAAGATCCGGCTCTCTGGCTGACCCCCGCCTGCACTGACCCCCGCCTCCTGCGCCCCGACCGATCGGCGCTCCACTCCGCCAGATCACCGGGCAACGGCCCACGGTGCGCCGCTGGCAGCCTTGATGCACCTCCACGGGCGGCCGTGCGCGGCACGGCCCGGGCCGGGGATCGATCGCGACCGGCCGACGTGGCTCGGACCAGCAGGCGAGAGGAGAGGAAGAGGGCGGCAGGAGGGAGATGGACTGGAGGAGGAGGAGGAGGAGGAGGAGGAGGAGGAGGAGGAGAAGGAGGAGGAGCAGGAGGAGGAGGAGGAGGAGCAGGAGGAGGAGGGGGAGGAGGAGGAGGAGGAGGAGACGAACGGGATGTAGGGAATGGAGGAGGGGGATGAGGAGGGGGGGACATGAAGAGGGGGGTGGGAAGGGGATGAGGAGGATGAGACGAGTAA